CACTAACGCTGGCCATATCATCAATTTGAAATAAAAATATGAAGGATTTAAGTTTCCAGCAAATCAATTTAAAACAAAAAATGCATGATGGAAAATTATATTATTATATGGATATCTATGGTCAGCTTCTGCCAGAAAATAAAATCAGTAAAATCAAATTTAAACTGTATGAAATCGAAGGTTAAACGTTGAAGGTCTAAAGGAGATATAACCCAAATCCTGAAGTATATAATTTATTATAGAACCCAAGTGAAAAATTGATCAATTTTTGGCGTTATAGGTACTACTCAATAATTTTAAAGTTAGAACATATTGTCCAACCTTGACCTCAGTTCAGATTAATTCAAATTCAAATTCAAATTCTTTATTACCAGGTGAATAACAATCAATACACGAGTACATACAATAGCTTACACTACTACAATGTACAGTATATCCTGCAGAGACAACAAAGTCTGTGTGCAGGCCTAGCTGGTGAAACTCTGCAGAGCAGCATATACAATGAATGCAGCCTCACAGAGCTCCACCATCAACCTATGACTAAAGAAGCACACCCTTACTTAAAGTATGATAATGAGCAAATTACCACACTTCAAGTCGTACACCTAAAAAAAAAAATCCCTAATGTAAGAGCAACATTTCAGTTATTGTGTTTGTAACAATCATTATATAATAAATGTATATATGTAAAAATAAATAGTTATACTAACAAAATTCATACTCACAAGATGAATTCTCTTTTTTTTTTCTTTTTCCCTATATTATACTATAATTATATTATAAATTTATATTTGAATTTATTAGAAAACTCTTGATTCTATTTTTAAAAATTTTACTTACTCTAGCAGAAAGTTTTAATTCATTTGGTAGAAGATTAAAAATCTTAATCGCACTAATTTTTGAAGCTTTTTTGCCAACCTCAAGTGAAGTTTGGATACATGGAATGCTTCTGTTTCTGGTGGAAACGTTTCTATGATTATGATTAATAAAAGATACATTTCCTTTTAAACATGACGGTAACAAAAGTGAAGCAAAGACAAATCTATAATAAATATGGTAAATCAAAAATCGGAAATAATTATTTAAAGTTCACTGCGGTGTCAAGAATGTAATAAATGAAATTGAAATTTCAAACATTTAAATGTAATGTCGGTGAAAATTCAGGCAATTATGATAATCTATATATATATAAAAATTAATGCCACTTTTCGTTGTAATTTTATAACTCAAGAACGGGCTCACCTAGCCAAACCAAATGTTTAGGCTTTGTTCGGACTATTTATTAGATAGGTACTTTATGTGAAGTTTGCACAAAATCGGTCGAGCGGTTTTTCATTTATCACATTTTTTGTAATAAATGAATTATTCAATAAATGGAGGATCATTTTGTCAATGGGGATTTTGCTGTCAAATTGAAACTTTTTTCAGCGTTGACAGTACCAGCATGTTGTTATGTCATTAATGTGGTCATTTCATTACTTATTTTATTTATTTTATTTATTTATGAAAAAAATTACTAAGCCCGCATACGGCGCCATCTCTTATAACCGATACCAAGTTTATTTTGTATTTTGTATTTTGTATACCGCGCCATCTCTGATAGGTACCTGGAACGAAGCTCGGCATTGCAGATACAGTAGAACAATGCTGCTCAGGAACTGGAGCTATTTCGAACAGAACTATTCCACTATTCCGATGAGATAGAGTGGTGCGGAAAGAGTAGATCAGGGCCGATATTCTCGTTCTCGAAAACGCTCACCGCTTTTCAGTCGCTCGGCACTTTCAATGTAAATTTGCATTTAAAGTGCTGAGCGACTAGAAAGCGGTGAGCGTTTTTGAGAACCAGAATACCGGCCCAGATAGAGTAGTGCAGATAGAGTAGAACTGATGGTGTAGTGCAGATAGAGTGAAACAGGGCGCTAGAGATTTTTTTTGTTTTCTTTACATTCTTTGAACATTCCTGTGCCTTACAAGAATAATGCCCACAAGCTGCCTAAAAAAGGATGATGTAAAATTTTAATTTTAGGTGACTTCTAATCCAGAGAGTAAACATTAATTTTCTTTAACCAAAGCCAAATTCACCATCGAAAAAAACTGAATTTAATTCAGCTAATAGATACGTTAACACAACATTTAATAGGTATATTTAATAATTCAGAGGCGGTACGAAGTTCGCCGGGTCAGCTAGTTGATCATAAAATAGATTTCATAAAAAAGGTAATAAAAGTAATAATCGAAACTGTATACAAGCCTCAATTCCAACAAAAAGGTAGTATACGGTAGTCGGTAGCCATCCATTTTTTGATCACTGGACGAGGGAAGTTGCACTTTGCATTAGCCTAAAATCAAGGCTTGAAGTTCAGTTTTCTTGGTCAAATATGAGGGTACAGGTATCGACACGTGAGGGACTTGATTCCTCCAAGAAATCACTTCATAAACTCACGCTGCACGAAAACGGTGATCTTAAGGGCTTGTTGAAAATGGATTTCTTGAGAGAAACGGCTCCTCGGAAAAAACGGCTCCCCGGTAAAACCCTGAATAATAAAGACATTCCATGATCAACCATTACTTTAAAAAAAAAATTAAAAAGGACTTACCACGAGGGGGTTCGAAATTCAAACTCAAATGAAACAGTAATCACCAGACTTTTTATTTAATTTTTTTCGGTAATCAGTGGATTGCCTTACGCAAGTTTATTTTGGTAAAATAATGCCTGATGGCCGATAAGGTGCTTTTTCCACCACGAGAACGGTAATCGATATTATTTTACTTAGGAACCCTTTTTTTTTAATGCTAGTCGCCAGACTGTCAATATTAAGAGATGATATAAAATTAAATTTGGAAGAAAAAAGGAACAAGTAACATTTGCAATGTTACATAACATGGGATCAGACGTTGTGGGATAGCCGCCCTTAACATGGAATCACACGCTTACTCACTCTAGAGGGCAGGTTAAAATCTGGGCCTGCCGCATGCAGGTGGGTGTAACTTATTTCCTTTTTTTGAGGAGGACTAGGGGGTAAAGAAATAAGAAGAAAGAAACCCCTGGATTATCGAGAAAGTAAAATACAAGGTAGGTTTTTGTAGAGCTCATGGAAACAACGTGAGATCAGCGGACAGCTGACGTCACTGGCTGGACCGTCTAAGCTTCGATGGCGATAATCAATGGTTGCTACGAACTAATTTTTAAAATGGCCAGTAATAGTTCCAATTCTCAATCAAGAAGCAGGTACAGTAGTTGCTGATGCCTTACTGCAAAATATTATTGTCAGTCATGGGGTGGGTATCGATGGAAATTCATACCGATCAGGATATGAATTGTAAGCCGGAGTTATGGAAAGAACTAATACGATTTCTGGGAATTAGGAGACCAAGTACGTCTCCGCTTCATCCACAATGTGACGAAATGGATTCGGTGTGTCAGACAGTTTTTCGATTAGGCAGTGCACTATTTTTCCTTTCTCTACTAGCTTATAAAAGCTTTCACCATAATTTAATCGATGTTGTTGACCAGAACTGAAGCTTTCTGTAGATTCAATGTTTGGTATACCACCATTTGATGAAGACGAAACTATATTTCCAGTTTACGTGCCTGATCTCCGGGACGACGCCAGGAACTAATTACGTCTGAGCAGCAGAGACTCGACAGACGGCAGCCATGGAACACCTTTAAAAGAGGTGACGCCATCTGTTTGTACCAACAAAAACAATCCAGAAATTACAAAGTCCGTGGGTAGGACTATAATTTAGGATCGTTAAAAAGATAAACTTGGTGTACAAGATGTAACTTTTACTGAAAGCGAAGCTGAAGGTTGTACAAGTTTAGAGGCTAGCTTCATATACAGACGTGTGTATAAAGACTTGGACGTGAGAAGAAGCTGATCGGAGCGAACAGCTTCAGGGAGTGGTGCTATAAATATCTCCGGTCCGAGATATTGAATGGAAGCGAATTATCTAGAAAATTCCTAAGGCGACGTCGCGGTAGAAAACGGACTCGACTTCTGAGGGCAGGTCTGTGAGAAATTAAATGTCGGTATGTTAAGAGAGTCAATAGTAAGAAGACAGCGAGTGATTTAGTTTTGTGAATAGTTGAGCTTGATTGTATGTAGTTGAGCAAAGTGCCGTAATAGTGCTACTTAGGTTGTGATTTTTGTGTTATTGTTTCGAAAAAATTTATATATATATTTTTTTTAAATAGCTCTCTTTTCTACGAATTCGCTTACGTAACAATATTAAAACTGCCACTAGTCTTTGTATTAGATCCTGGACGTCCCTGGACCTACTTGACGCGGAATTCGAATTATGATTATCGATCTCTGTAGAACCCCCTAGTTCTCTCAAAGGCCAGCAATCTGTCGCTTGATGTTACCTGTAGGCATGCCAATACACGAATTACAAGTATGTAAGTACCTACTTTCCACGATCGCCGTTGTTTGGATTTTGGATTTAACCGGAAACATGCAGGCTAGGCTGTAGCTCCACTTCATTTGTTTTAGTTATTTTTTACAATAATTCAAATGCAACTTTGATAGTTAATGTAAAAAGCCTTTGGTTTTTGAAAGCTTAAATTCTTCTATTAACAAAATTACAAATACCTAACATTATAAGGAGTTATAAGAATTGCACAAAATGCATTAAATACACATATAAACTTTTAATTAAAGTATAAACTACGAAAATTTAATAGCAAATGTATCGGGTCTAGGTCACTAGATCCCGTATAAAATTGCAATTAACCTAGTTCTGATAAAACAATAGTGTGGCTCTGTATTTGCAGTTATTTATCATGAATAATTTGCTTCAAAACTGTTTCGAAAAAAATACATTTACGGGAAATTGGGAATAGTATGCTGCAAGTTCAGACATTATTTCATGACTTTTGAATAAACTATGAGATTTATTCAACCGCAAGGTGTCTCCTCTGAATTTCTGGTTAGGGAAATTTAATAACAGTTGCATAATGAAATCGAATAAAAATGTGCAAATGTATCTTTACTTACAATGCGCTGCTCGCTCTTCTATGGAATAACTTGAAAGCGCTGACATCTCGTGGTGGTTTATTTCTAAAACTGGTCACGCACACACTCTTCGACCTATCACGTGACGTGGATTCTTCGTTAGCTTTTTCACCACGTAGTCTTTGCACTAGCCGCATGTCGAAACACAGCATCCTAGTAAACTTTTTTTTTTCGAAAATAACACTTAAAAGTTCATTTTCCACCTGCTGCTGTTTTGAAAGTCTAGCAAATATGCAAAAATTTAGTGAAATGACATAATATTAATGACATTGTATCATACCTATATACTATTACTTATTTTATTTGAAGCAAAAGCATATGCAGAGAAAAGCTGATAAATCATTTGTCAAATATGTGATTGACCCTTAGATTATATACTAAGGATTGACCTCAGGAGAATATCGTGTAACAGAGGAAATTAAATGAAAATTTTTTTTTTTTTTATTTTTTGTATAGGTGAAAAATATAACCCCAGTCCGAATAACACACTCCTTCTGGAAAAACGGAGCGCCAGTGCTTGTACCGCATGTACTGAATCCTATTCGTCAATTATTAAGCTCGTGTGAGGAGTGTTGGAATCGTTTACACAGGTTCTTGCATTCTCTAAGTTTCCATTGTTTGTCGCCCCCTTGATACTCTAGTCTGGTTACTGGTATCAAATTTAGTAAGACGTGGCAAAGAAATGGCAAATTAAACCGATGAGAATGAAGCTAAAGATGGCACCCTGATGACTGCAGGATGTCACTTTTCTGTTCCTGCTGTAGTACTGATGGAAAATCACAAATTTTTCTTGTGCTGTGCTATTTGCACCAGTTTTTTCAAAATACAAAATAATTATTATGCTTCTTCTTCCCAAGTGCTGGTTCCGTTCCATTTCGGAACAGTACATAAACATTCGTTTCTTTTCTACAGGGCGATTGCAAAAATATATTATTTTTCAATGTATTGACTTAAGCAAGATAACTTTTTTAAATAAATAAATGTATATTTTAATTCAACCCTTTGACTGGAAACAAGTACCAAGCTATACATAAATATTTGAGCCCTTTTCAGCCATGCATGTTTAAATAAGCGGCAGAATAAATATACCCTGATTTAGAGAAATACCAGCGAACCGTCGAATCGTATGCTCGGCTTGTTTCCTTTTGTCAATTGTAACATTTTAGCATTATTTTCCAGACTATTATTCACTATGGAATAGAAATAACTACCTAATAATTGTACGGACATTTAATTGCAGTGTAGGAAAAATCTAAAAATACTACCGCGATAAAAAATCTATGAAAACTTATACTTATGCATAACGTGGTAATAATAGGAATTAGAAAATATGACATTTTAAAGTACATACTACATTGCGTGCTAAAAATAACATTGATCGACTAACCGTCTAAACCTCTGTCAATAACTAATTTAGACTTTCACGTGGACCTATTCTGCGTACAGTGACTAAAAAGACGGCAAGGTGGAACAGAAATCGACATTAGGGTAGGATATATTAATATCTATCACAACGTTCTTGATGATAAGTGTGTTTGAGTATCAATCTAATAATTCAAACTCTTCCGTTTGACAACTAGATCCTGAAATTAGGCAATGAAGAGTTTGAAAGGTATAAACCAAAGGATCAAATATCCCTCACCGTAAAAGTTATACATATACACAAATTGTACAAAAATTAAATGTGGAGAGAAGAATAATTCTGGGCTGGGAGCCACGCTAGACAAAGATACCAAACTTGAAAAAAGTACATCGGCCGTTAGGGGATACATGTTCAAGTGGCAAACCTTTTCCACTGGAAGTGTACGTTATCTTTCGAAGGTTATGCCTTTCGGACTCTGTAATGCCCCCGCTACCTTTGGAAGGCTTATAAAAATCGTATACGTATGACAACATAAGTAAAGAGTCGTATGCCTTGCTACTTGGATGATGTAATAGTCATACGATTTTTTTTTATGAACACTTTCAAAATTTGTATTACGTATTTATCGTACCCGTGTGAGGTTTGCTAGTGCTCCATCGGGCGCCTCCCCAGGTGGCGGATAAGGAAATGCTTCTCAGATATGAATGGTACCAGGGAAATTAAATACACAGGGCGGACCAAAACTAGTACTGCAGCGTCTGCCTCAGAGTGAGTATCTGTCCCAAAATGGGCGGCTGAATCAAAACTCACCAACCCGCCTGAAAAGCGTGGCGTTTTACTTGCTATTACCCCCCTGTACATACCATGGCGAATTTTAAAATAAATGGAACTGGTCCCCAGGTAGGTGGGAAATTTACCGACTCCCACACCTCTATGGTCTGCCTCACACGGAATCTGGGGGAGGCAAAAATTCGCTCCCCAAGATCAAAACCCCATGAGAACGACTAACACAACAAAAATCACAGAAACTGATCAACCTAACAATAGGAACATACAATATTATATCAATGAACACTGACGAAAAGATACATGAACTGGAGGAAGAGCTGACAAGAATAAAGTGGGACATAGTGTGCTTGTCAGAAACTCGAAGAAAAACAGAAAATCGAATAAAATTGAACTCCGGTAACCTGCTAGACTTCAAAGGTAACAAAAACAATAGTATAGGAGTAAGATTTATTAAAAATAAAGCGATAAGTAAACACGTAAAAACTAACAAGGGAGTCTCAGATCGGGTTGCTTATCTCGTACTTAAAATGAAAAAAACATCGCTTAAAATTATTCAACATACGACGACGAGAGCATCGAAATATTCTATGAAGATATCTCAAAGGGCATGGAAGAACATGAAACTTGCCTTTCTCTAGTAATTGGAGATTTCAATGCCAAACTTGGTAAGAAGCTGAATAAAGAAGAGAAAAAAATCGGGAACTTTGGGTAGGTACGGTGAGAGGAACGATAGGCACTAACTTGATGAACTATCTAGAAGAAAAACATCTATATGCAATGAACTCGTTCTATAAGAAGAAACTGCAAAGAAAGTGGCGATGGCTCAGCCCTAATGGAACAACGAGAAATGAAATTGACTACATACTGACCACTGAAAAATGTATTATTAAAGATGTAACAGTCCTGAACAGATTCACCACAGGCAGCGATCACAGAACGGTCAGAGCAAATATACGTATCGATGACAACTTTGAAATGAAAATAAAAACTAATGGAAACAAGGGACAACTAGACATGACCAAACTTGCACAAAATAAAATCATATACAAAGAGAGACTGAAGGAACAACTGACTCAGAACTTGAACAGCGATAATGAAAATATGGATAAAATATACGATACATTAGCGGAAACCATGATTAGGGTGGCAAAGGAAATCGCACAAAAAGATGAAAAGAAGGAAGATTGCATATCAGAAGAGACAAGAAAACTTATGGAAAGAAAGCGGAAACTGAACGAAGAAGGGAAAAGGAAATCGATAGAATACACAGAAATCAATAAGACCATCAGGAAAATGATAAAAGAAAACAAAAGAAAGAACCAAGAGATAGAAATAGAAAGAGTCATAGAGAATAATAGGAATATGAAATGCCTAAGACCAACACTAGGAAGATACGAAATAAATAAAATAAAATACAAGAACGGCGTAGAAACAAATATCAAGGAGGATATCATAAATATCACACAACTCTCTTATACAAAACTATATCAAACAAAAAAGGAACCACCGGAAAAAACCGTAAAACAACTTTACTACAAACTAAAATAAAGAATGTAAATTCAGCTACTACACAACTACAACCCGAAATAAGCAAATCGGGAATAAAGAGGGCTCTGAAAGAAATGAAAAACAGCAAAGCACCTGAAAAAGACGGAGTCACGACAGAAATGCTAAAATACGGTGGAAAAACGGATATCAATACTCTCCATACCCTCCTAAATAAAATACTGAAAGAAAAGAAAATCCCGAACAACTGGAATGAATCCATAACCATTATCCTTCATAAGAAAGGTGATAGAACAGACTTGAAAAACTATCGACTTATAACACTCCTTAATGTAATTTATGAGCTCTTCACAAAAATTCTCACCACCAGGCTAACAATTAAATTCGATGGTTACCAATCGAAAGAGCAGGCCGGCTTCAGAAAGGGTTTCAGTACAAATGACCACCTATTAATCATGAAAACCCTAATAGAACGAGCCAACGAATATCACATCCCACTATATATTGCATTTATCGACTTCGAAAAGGCTTTGATAGTGTTGAACACTGGGCAGTAAAGAACTCATTAATTAATAGCAGAATAGACTACAGATACACAGACCTAATAACCAACATATATAGCGAAGCAACAACAACTGTTAAAATCCATGAGGGAACAAAACCAATACCCATAGGAAGAGGTGTCAGACAGGGCGACACAATTTCACCTAAACTTTTCAACCATGCCCTGGAAGATGTTTTCAAAAAACTAGACTGGGAAGAAAAAGGTATAAAAATATGCGGAGAACACTTGAGCAACTTAAGATACGCGGATGATATCGCCCTAATAACTGATAAGAAAGAAGAACTGACGGAAATGCTGGAAGAACTTGACACAGCAGCTAAAAACATAGGTCTCAATATGAACTACGCTAAAACTAAAACAATAACGAACGATGAAGAAGCACGCTGGAACCAGGTGGATGAACATGGCAACAGACAGAGAGGAATCGAGAAGACTGGGGGAGGCCTACGTCCAAAGATGGACTGAAGAAGGCTGAATAGATAGAAAGATAGATTTATCGTACCCATAAGGCTGCGTAGTTTCGCTCGAAGAAATTCATACTGACGTATGAAAAATGCAGGCAATCCGTGAATTGCCTCGATATTGAGACAAGCGTGAACTGCTTTCTACATAATACAGATTGTTTGTAGAAGAACTTGCGGACGTAGTACCATCGTTGCCTGAGTACCCTGTAGAAAAAGGTACTTTTGTGTGGACTACGGACTATGATTTAACTTGAGGAGAGGTTGGAGGCAGGTCAATGTTTCAGTCCTATATTAGGCACGTGTAGACTGAAAATTTATCAGAGCTGTCTTATGTCGCAAATACAAAATGGAGAGTCATTGAATTCTATAAGTAATTGTTTATTAGTTCCGAGAGAAATTACTGCGTAACGGGTAAGAATAATCAAGTCAGTGGATCATTTCCACAAGTAAGCAACTATCTGTATGTATAAGAATGTCTTAATCATTAATGGCTCAACAATCTGACACTACAACAACAGGTAGCAATATGGCTAGA